TTGATTTAAAAAAAAAAAAATTAAATTAAATTAAATCCACTTCCACACACTCTACTAAGTACTACCAGGTAGATGTCCAAATACTCAAGTTAAATTGCAATCCACACGAACTTACACAACTCCACAAACACTTGGTTCACCAAAAAAACTAGTTAAAAAAATAATAAAAGAAAAGAAAAGAAAACCAATCTTGATCACTCATTCACTCGTTGAGATTTCATCGGACGGCACCCCCCTCAGCTCGTCAATCATCGTGACGACTCGGCCCATCTTGGGGCGAAGGTCGGGTAGGGCCTGCGCACACGCCATCTCGACCTGCAACAGGCCCACCATCTCCTCCTCAATTTCCCGGTACCTCATCTGCTCCAAGTCGAACACCTTAGCAGTCCACTCCTCCCTCACCACCGACTGGACCCACCTCGGCAGGTCGAGCACCCCGGGGGCATTATGGTCATTCAGGCTGGGACACTTCCCAGTCAGGAGTTCCAGCAGGAGGACCCCGAACGAGGACACATCCGACTGTGGGCTCAGTTTCCGGTTGTCCAACGAGGCCTCAAGAGCACAGTAGCCATCGGATTTAGAGGCCGAGGGAAGTGTGGAGAAGATGGAGAGGCTGTAGTCTGATAATCTTGAGTTACCGTCCTTGTCGATTAGGACATTTGTTGACTTTATGTTGCCGTGGAGGGGCTTGCACGAGGAGTGGATGAAAGATAGGCCGTGGGCTGCACCTGATGCTATTTTCAGTCGTGTGGTCCAGTCCAGTGGGGTTCGCCTAGGACCTCTGTTGCATGTATAAGATTTTTTTATACAAGTATGAATGGATGTTACTTTTTTGTAAGAGAATATTAAATTTCATAGGAAGTTCAATTTTCCCGAGTTGGATGTACTAGAATTAATTTTCCGGAAATAGCAGTACAAAATGTAAGCAATTAACCCCAAAACCAAATCATCTCCAACTATTATGACTATTATGACGAACCAGTTGATTTTGCTCCCGTGAGCATTTCGGGCCTTTCTGGGCGGGTTCATCTGGGCCGACATAGCTGTGGGGGATGACGCAATGGTTGTTTTCGGGCTAACAGAAGAGGCCATGGCTCCACCGGGCCGAGACAGAGCCAAGTTACATTTCTGCAGTGGGAGCCCGCATAAGTTGGGATTGTTGGAAAACGATGAGTGGGGAAAACCCAAGAGATAGCCCGGAATCTCACCCATCAACCCATTTCCCGAAACGTTAGTCCTGCAAGCTGGGTAGGTTTCGACCCAGAATGGGGACCGTGAGCCGATTTTCCTCGAGCCTCAACGTCGGCAAGTGCGTCAGTCGGTTCATGCCCAACGATATACTGCCGGAGAAATTATTGTAGGACAGATCGAGGCGGTAGAGTTTGGAGAGGGAAAATAATGAGGGCGGAAATTGGCTGGAAAATTTGTTGTGCGAAATGAAAAGGAGTTTGAGGCTGGTGAGGGCGGAGAGATTGGGGACCCGACCCGAAAAACCATTTTGCTTGAGGCTGAGGACCCGGAGCTGGGTTAAGGAAGTGAGGGAATGAGGGAATGAGCCGTGGAGGTTCATGTTCTCGAGGACTAAACGGGCGACCCGGTTGTGGATGCAC